TCCTCCAGGTCTGCAACACATTCCCTTTCTCATGGCGACCCGTTTATCGCTTCTTCCAATTCACCGAAACCGACCCGAATTTCACTCACACGGCGGTCTCTTTCAACAAGATGATTGATATTGTTGGAAAATCTCGAAATATCGATCTCTTGTGGGATTTGATTCAGGAAATGGGACGGCGGCGTTTGGTGACGGATAAGACCTTTGTTGTTGCTCTGAGAACGCTGGCGGCGGCAAGGGAATTGAAGAAATGTGTGGAGCTTTTCCATTTGATGAATGGATATGGATTTGGTTATAGCTTAGTGAGTTTGAACAAAGTAGTTGAGAAATTGTGTGGCTGTAAACTTGCGGATGAGGCTAAGTTTCTGGTTTTGAAATTGAAGGAATGGATCAAGGCTGATGGGGTTACTTACAAGTTATTGATTAAGGGATTTTGCGATGTGGGAGATGTGATTGAAGCTTCAAAGATTTGGAACTTAATGGTGGAAGAAGGGTTCGAGGCTGAAATGGAAGCTGTGGAGGAGATGATGAATGTTCTTTTCAAGGCCAACAAATTGGATGAAGCTTTGAAACTTTTTCAGGCAATGAGATCAAACAGGATGAATGATTTGATTCCTCCAACTTATAGTCTTGTGATTAAATGGTTATGCAACAAAGGCAAGACGAGGCAGGCCTATAATGTGTTCGACGAAATGCTTAAGAGAGGGTTTGAAGCTGATAATTCAGCACATTCTTCACTAATCTATGGGGTTTTAGCTAGAGGGAGGAGGAGGGAAGCTTATAACATAATGGGAAGAATTGAGAAGCCTGATTTGAGTGTTTATCATGCTATGATTAAGGGGCTTTTGAGGCTGCGAAGGGCAAGTGAAGCGACACAAGTTTTTCGGGAAATGATTGAAAGAGGGTGTGAGCCTATAATGCATACATATGTAATGTTGTTGCAAGGACATCTAGGGAGAAGGGGGAGGAAGGGATTGGATCCATTGGTGAATTTTGATACCATTTTTGTTGGAGGTTTGGTGAAGTTTGGGAAGTCATTGGAGGCCACAAAGTATGTGGAGAGAGTGATGAAAAGAGGGCTTGAAGTGCCAAGGTTTGATTACAACAAGTTTTTGCATTACTATTCGAATGAGGAGGGAGTGGTAATGTTTAGAGAGGTGGGGAATAGGTTGAGAGAAGTTGGGTTGGTTGATTTGGCTGATATATTTCAGAGGTATGGGGAGAAAATGACCACTAGAGATAGGAGGAGAGATCGAGCAACGGTGTCGTCGAGCAAGATACCGGCTGTGTCGGGTTGAAATGATCAGGTGTTTGAGGTGAGATAGGAGGAGAGATTGAGCAATGGTGTCGTCTCTGATTTGAAATGCCCTATTGGATAACAGATCGTTACGTTGTCGAGCAAGACATCGGCTGTGTCGAGTTGAAAGGATCAGGTGTTTGAGGTGAGATAGGAGGAGAGATCGAGCAACGGTGTCGTCTCAGATTTGGAAACACTTAGCACGACAAACTGCCAATCCATTCAAGGCAAGGATGGTTTTGATCTCATGCTTGGCTTAATCGAAGACATTGAAAGTTTACTCTTCACTGCTATATCACCTTGAACCTGAAATCAAACTGATTCATGCCCCTGCAAATGGTAACATGCTAGTAAATATAAAGGCCATTTGTACCAGAATCAGAGGATTCTTCATGGATTTTGAATTTAGTCTAAACTGATTTTCACTCTATAAGTTGGGGTGGTTGGCATAATAACAAACCCCCGCCCTTAACCCATGAAGGAAAAATAAATAATAAAAAGATAAGGCCATTTCATTTCGATAAAAGACTCACACCCGAGTTCCTTTAACTCAACTAGTTAAGACATAATCTTGACGAAAAGGTTAGAGATTCGAACCCTCCTCTTCAATCCCAAACATTATTGAACTCAATCCAAAATAAAACTCAACTGGTTAAGACATATAATCTTGACGAAAATATCGAAGATTTGAACCCTCATCGATCACCAACATTGCGGGAACTCTGAGTATCATTCAGGTTAATCTGGTTCAAGCTGTCCCCAGTTCCCTATTCAGGTAGTCAACAAACATCCTCTTAGCACTTACTGCATCACAAGGTGGCGGTGGCCCACTTAAACTAGTTTGCCCTGTTAGTTTAATGAACGTTCTCCGTAGCCTCCGAAGCTCGGGAAGACCGACCGACTTTGAAATATTGATGGTTGGCAAATCCTGACCCAGAGGGACACCGTTCAGAGGTCCTCCCATTGCTTGGCCTTGCGCTTCTACTATAGCATTAACCACTTCGTGTGTTGCTTTGTCCAACTCATACAAAGAATTCGCCTCCGATAATCGAGTACTCCGAGTCGCGATCGTTGGCTGTAAGATCTTTACATCCCTCGACTTCGAGTCGGCCGCTTTTGTCAAGTATGATACAACATCTAGAATGACAGTAGATGATTTCTCTATTCCATCTTTATGTGGCAACAACTCGAACAATGGCGAGTCCCATCTATTCCTACTAATTGGTCTCTCAAACCTTCTCACCAGATCTTCAAATATCTTATCATCGTAGTTAGCTTCTCCGTTCTCTCGCCGCTCGTCGTTCCACTTCCTACAATGTGTTTCTTCCACATCACAGTACAGAACACAGTACCTAATTCCAGCTCCACGAGCCAAACACCACAGCTCGTACCTATAACCCTTTATACTATTCAAAGAGTCTACAATGACAATGTTGTCTTCCGATACAGATCGGTCGACTTCAGATCTGATCACTCCTCTTAAATTCTTTTCGGCAGGCATATCGGCATAGCTCTGATTGCGGTCGAGATGAAAAGAAGTTTCATTGATTATCTTTACAGCTTGTTTTACATTTGATTCCTTGAGAGCTTCAGCTAAGCAGAGTGCCGCAGTGGACTTCCCACTGCATGGCTGGCCACAGACCACAACCAATGCCATTTTATGAAGAAAATTGAGCTTGTAGGCAAAGATTTCAAAGCAGAAAAGTTCTAACTGCTAATAATCAAAGAAAAAACAACAAATATCAATAACACTACGAGTAAAAGTACTTGTTTCTCATCCAAGAAGATAATACCATAACATAGCAAGAACCATTAAAAAGAAATGATCAAGGAATTTACACAAATAACATATGATCCATACTACAAATTATAAGAAAACTTTGTAGGATGCAGCAAATGCAAGTAAAAATAAACAGAAGCCTGACAATGAGTCGAACTCCATGCATAAAGTCAAGAATGTTCATGCTGACTTGCGTGCACCTCGACTAATCTCACCAGATAGCCATTTGACGCTACTACGTTTGATTGCAAATATAACTTGTTAAATCTTATGCAGTTGGTCACCACCCTAGGGCGTTCTTCGCTTTCAATAATTAAGATTTGGACTCGTAAATTTCCTAATAACTAAAAGTTACATTGAACAGCCCAACAAAATTAAATGAAGAAATACACAGAGGACAGGGAAGTTACCTAGATTCAGAATATAGAGCAGCAATAGATAAACAGAAGTAGGTTCAGATTACTCTTTCAGATCCAAAGAACAGAATAAAATAAGCGAAATTTTATTGTCGGATTTGTCACTGTTCTACGAATTCATTGTGGCTCAAAGTGAAGTTCGGTTGATAGAACAAACAATAGGTGGAATAACGATATCTCAGAGAAGAAAAGGCTCGAGATAAAAGAACCTTCAATTTTTCAGACAAGAAGCCGAAGATTTGAGGCAATAAATTCAGGCTTCCGGAGCTTCAAATCTTCTCATAATTTATAAACAAGTGACTCAATCTCTCGACATATAGCAACAAACTGATCTCTCTCCGCGTTGAGAGAAATCATTAAAAGTTTCCGAATCAAAATTAAGAGAATCTAAGCCAATAGAACCAGGCCACGCGATGAAACCACAGAGAAATATCGATTCTTACCTTGATTGCCTTGGATATCTCAGGCTGCTTGCCCCCACCGTCTGTTCGTCTCTAAAGAAGGAGAGGCCCAAACGTCGGAATTGATTGATGAAGATGAACTTCTTAAACCTTTCTACAGAAAATACCTTGAAAATATTAATAAAATGAATAATATATATATATATTTAATAATAGAAAAATACTATACGCTTTTTTTTAAATAAATTAAAATAGTTACTAAACTAATTTCTACCCTTTTATATGTTTATTTTTATTTTATAAATTTGACTAAAAATTTAAATATTTTTAACACGAAATTATTTATACAAAAATAAAAAATTAAAAAAAGTTTAAAATATAGTTTATGTTAACCTAATATTTGTATAACCCAATTCTAGACCATGATAATTAACTCGTTCAATTAACCAAATTAAAAAAATATTCTTTTTTATAATTTTAATATTATCTTTGGATTTCATAAACGTGTCATAATTACCTTTAAAAATTGAAATTTGTTAGAATGTTGGACGAAAAAACGCGTGATGTGACATAATTAGGATGTTGGTTTGGATTAAGCGGAAAAGAATATATTTAAATATGTGGATTTTTTAATTTAATATTCTTTTTTTTTAATTTAGAAATATTTACCAAAGGCTAACAATAATATTACCAGAATCCTACCCGACTTGTAAAGCTAATGAAAGCAAAGGTGAATAATATTGACAGGGTAAATACGTCATTATTTTAAATATAATATTATAATAATTTGAAAATTCATCTAAAAATATAATACGTGGTGGCCGAGGTGCAAAAATGGAAAGAAAAAATAGAAAATTAAAAAAATTGCCATATATGATTAAAATTTCAAAGGGAGTGTGAACTGGGCGACCTCTCCCGAGTTGGATTTCCCCATGAGGCCAATGTCGTTCCCAACTCTTATAAAGTAGGCGATTCCTTCAACGCCATTTTGTCACCATCGCCGCCGTCTCCACCACCGTCACTACCGATTCGATTTCCTCAAACTCACTCCACTTCCGATTCGAATTCCGAAACCACTCCTCTTTTTTCTCTTCTGTTTCTGCGCTATGGTGGCCGGAGGAAGAGGCGCCGCCGTAGGCATCGGCGTGGCGGTGGTGATGGCGGTGTTAGGGATTCAGATCTGTTCGGCGCAGATTTCCAGAAGCGGTTTTCCGAGCGAATTTGTTTTCGGAACGGCCTCCTCTGCTTTTCAGGTTCCGTTCTTTTATTCTAACAAAACCATTGCAACTCTTACAAGTTTTTTCTTAAAAAAAAAATAAAAATTAATAATAAATTAAACTTTATCTTTATCTTCCTAATTTATGAATTATTTGGATGTTAATATTGGTTTCAATAAAAGAAAATTGATATTTATAAATTAAAATTTTTTAAATGAATAATTATAAATAGTGTGTAATACCAAACCACGTAGAGTATTTATCAATTATGGTTCACAGTATGAAGGAGCTATCAAGGAGGGCGGAAGAGGACTTACAATTTGGGACACATTTTCCCATTCATTTGGTAATTATTATTATTATTATTATTGTTATTTTGGTATTTTTAAAGAAAATGTGAAAAATAAATAAATAAAATAAAAAGGCTAAATATATTTACCTTTTATTATTATTATTATTATTATTTTTTAATGGTTAGATGGTGTTGAATTGAATTAATTTAGTATTTAATAAAAGTCATATTTTACCAAATTAAAATATATAGTATTTTTTTTATTTAATTAATACGATATATTTTTATATTACATTATTTTTTTTTGTGTACTTATTAATGAAAATAAGAATTCAACTATCACATTAAAAATGCAATTTAAAATTTAAAAATGAAATAAATAAATTAATTAATTAAGGTTTTCTTTTTAGTAATATTGTGAATAATGAAATGATGCAGGGAAGGTGATTGATTCTAGTAATGCCGATGATGCAGTGGACCAGTACCACCGGTATCCGGTAACAATATTTATAACTTTAATATCAATTATTGAGAAGAAGAAGAAAAAAAAACGAAATTAAATTAATAATAATAATAAAATGGAAACAGGAAGACATTAAACTTATGAAGGATATGGGTATGGACGCCTACCGATTCTCCATTGCCTGGTCTCGGATTTTTACAAGTAATATTTTTTTTAAGGTCATAATAGTAAAATTACAACTTTCGACTTCTTAATTAAAAAAATAATACATGACATACTTTTGTTTCGTAAGATGGAAGCGGAGAGATCAATCAAGCTGGAGTCGATCATTACAACGATTTCATTAATGCTCTGTTAGCTCAAGGTAAGTATAAGCTGTCATGACCTTGCAATAATGATGAGTATTCTTTGATTATAAGCCGCACTAATAGAGAGAGTATTCTTTGATTATAAACTGCACTAATAGAGAGAGTATTCTTTGATTATAGATTCATGATCATTCCCATTAACCCCCCTTGAACAAAGTACGCCTCTGATCCCATGTTCACGCCTCTGATCCCATGTTCAACATTAACTCCCCTTGAATAAAGAAGAGTCTTATTCGACATTTGTTGTGGATTTATCAATCTATTGGCACGACTAAATTTAGGGCATGAGTCTGATATAATGTTAGATGAACACGACTCTTCACAATGGTATGATATTGTCCACTTTACTTTGAGCTTCCCGAAAAGGCCTCACAGCAATGAACAGAGTATTATTTCATCATCTAACAAATAATAATAATAATAATAATAAACCTAGGTTGTTCTTCAACTCCTGACTCCTGACTGTTTGTTGAACCAGGAATCGAACCCTATGTCACTCTCTATCATTGGGACCTTCCTCAAGCCTTAGAAGACAGATACACTGGCTGGCTCAGCCCCCAAATCATGTAAATCCCTAAACCCTAACCCTAATTCTTCATTCCTCCATTTCAATTCCCGCCTTTCAAATTTGCAGACAAGATTTCGCGGTTTTCGCCGAGACGTGCTTTCAGAAGTTTGGCGATCGAGTGAAGAATTGGATTACGTTCAATGAACCGCATACCTTCGCTACACAGGGTTACGACATCGGCCTTCATGCGCCGGGCCGCTGCTCCATTCTTCTCCATCTCAAGTGTCGGAATGGCAACTCTGCAACCGAGCCTTACATTGTTGCGCACAATCTTCTCCTATCGCACGCCGCTGTCTCCGATATTTACAGGAGAAAGTACCAGGTAAGAATCCTGAATGAGGCTTTTATTGAAATTCGTATCGCTTAGATGGTATTCTGTCTGTTTGTGGTTTTATTTCGTTTGAGATTGTGGAATATTATGATAAATGGTGTGAGATTTGGGGATTTTTGCAGAAGAGCCAGGGAGGAGTGATTGGGATCTCGCTTGATGTTATCTGGTTCGTACCAGGTACGAATTCCACCGATGACATTCAAGCAACCCAAAGAGCTCAAGATTTTCAGCTCGGATGGTGATTTCTTTAAACAATCTGTTTTCGGGTTCACCAAATTGGAGATCATGTTGTGATTTAAGTTCATTCACTTTCAGGTTTCTCAATCCGTTGATATTTGGTGAATATCCAAGCTCCATGAGAAGCAGAGTTGGAGGGCGGCTACCGACGTTTTCCGCGTCGGAGTCGGCTTTAGTGAAAGGATCTCTGGATTTCGTTGGCATAAATCACTACACCACATTTTACGCTTATCACAACAGCACAAACATTATTGGTGTTGTTCTGAATGACAGCATTGCTGATTCTGGTGCCTTCACAGTTCGTAAGAATCCTTAATATATAAACATCATCTCTTTTGAATAATTTAGACATATCTGAATCAAATTTGAAGTTTTCCCTTCTTAAATTCTCTTCATTGGTTCTGTTCTTGTTTATGCAGCATTCAAAGGGCTGAAAACCATTGCAGAAAGGGTAGGGTGCTGCTGCTCTAATGTTTGACAAAATCAGAAGACAAAAACACAAGTAACTCAGTTTTTTTGTTTATGAACTTTCAGGCAAATTCTATATGGTTATACATAGTTCCTAGTGGGATGCGAAGTTTGATGAATTACATCAAGAACAACTATGGAAATCCACTAGTGATCATCACTGAAAATGGTAAAACACAGCTCGAAACACAGAACTTTTGCGAAAAAGTAAAGATCTAACTCGCTATTGTCGGGATTATAACAGGGATGGACGATCCGAACGACCGATCTAAACCGATCAAAGAAGCATTAAAGGATGAGAAAAGGATCAGATACCACAATGGCTACTTAACAAACCTTCTAGCTGCCATCAAGTGAGTTCTTCATGTTCTTGTTCATCAGTGTCAAATGTGAATGGCAATTTTAGTTGTGTGGTTTTCTGAGATGCAAAATCTGGTTGTGTGGGCTGTAGGGAAGATGGGTGCAATGTGAAAGGGTACTTTGCTTGGTCTCTGTTGGATAATTGGGAGTGGTCTGCTGGTTTCACTTCAAGGTTTGGCCTTTACTATGTTGATTACAAGGACAAGCTGAAGAGATACCCCAAGGACTCGGTTCAATGGTTCAAGAATTTCTTGGCTTCTTAGAACTCAGAGAATCTTAAAAGAAGGTTAGCCCACAGTTTCATGCTTTTGTCTTTGTTTTTGTTGTCATTTGATACATTATCTTATCGTGCAAAGCTATATTTAACATTATTGCGCAAATAATAAGATATTTGTTAAATAATATATAATCCAAATAAATGGAAAAGGTTGCCCTCTTGAGAATTGAAACTTGTTAGAGGAAGTTCATTTTCCATTTCCTCTTCATTTCTTAGCTTTAAAATTTTAAAATAAATAATTCGAGGAAAAAGTCCATGTCGATCGAAGGGTATTATTGTCATTTTGATTTTGTGGGTGGTGGGTCCATGCACCAACGTCCCATTCATCCACTCTAACCTATATTCAAAGTTTCGTGATTTGACTTTATCTTTTGGCCTACCATTTTTTCGGGATGGTCCTTACAGACAAACAAAATTATTTTTTAATAATAAAAACCTTTTTTTTTTTTTCTATTATTATTATTTTGAAAAATCCATTTGAATTTTTTTAACCATATGAGGGCAGTTATTCTATGATATTGGACTTGGCCCAACTTATAAAGCCCATAAAAAAGCCCATTTACATATTCTTCATTGGTAAGTGTTGAGGTATACTAAATATATTGACCTTTCAACCGTAGAAATGTTTTTATTTTGATAATAATTATTCATGCTTACGAAAGCAACATTTTTTTTCTTTTCACAAAAAATGTGTCTTTATTTTGGCCCCCCATTAGCTAATTTATTAAGACTAAAATAATTTAGGACTAATGTCCCTCTTTAATTAAAGTGCAACACTTGTATAATCAAATATCTAATTACGATATTAGATTTGGTTGATTGATTAGTTAAACTATTATTGTTATTATTATTATTATTAGTAGTAGTAGTAGTAGGTTTAATTATGAGTTTAGGCTGAAACGTTTTGGGTCTATTTTGTTCTTAAACTTTAAAAATTGTATAATCCCAAATTTTAAAAAATATAAAATAAAATGATTTATATACCCTTTTAGGGTTTTGCAGACTCTTCCTCTTCTTCTTTGCTCGATGTCTCGGTCACTTTTGTGTTTAGGCTTGCTTTTTGTCTCGTGTTATACATCATTTACCTATTTGACTCTTATTTATTGTTTTTATTATTATTATTATTATTATTTTGCAACTTGAAGTTGTTATTATAATCCAATTTCATCTATAAAAAGTTAAAACGTTGAATGTTTAGAGACTAAATTTACACCGACAGTCAATCGGCATTGTCTATCCTATCCCTCCACTTACCAAAAAGTTGAAATCTTCAAAATCTCTTGAATTGACAATGTGGGGCAGTGCTTATTATCCAACACGTGTCATTGAATTTATTATTATTTAACAAAATTAATTTTTATTTTATTAAAGAGTCCTTGAGTGGCTTTAGGCCCCCATCAAAAGTAAAAACAAAATTTAACATAAATGTCAACTCCTAGGTAGCTTATGGTAATTTTTGTGAGATAAAATAATTACATATCGCTATCAGTCCCACAATTTTGGAAAGGTTTCCACACCTTATAGAAATGTTTCGTTCTCTTCCTCAACCAATGTGAGATCCCACCGTCCACCTCCCTTGGGGCTCAACGTCCTCGCTGGCACATTGCTCGATGTTTGACTCTGATACCATTTGTAATAGCTCAAGTCCACCGCTAGTAAATGTTGTTTGTTTTGGTCTATTACGTATCGCAGCCTCACGATTTTAAAACACGTCAATTATAAAGAAATTTTCACTTCTTTATAAATAATGTTTCGTTCTCGTCTTCGACCTATATAGAATCTCACATTACCATCTGTCGGTTAGAAAATAAGAAAAAAAAAAAAATAGTGGAAGAGTTGGTTGGGGTGGTAATGTAAAAGGCAAATGTGGAGGGGCGTGGGAGTGAAAATGACATTCTTGCTTTAGAATCAAGTTAGCTTATTAATTAAAAAGAAATAAAGAAAATAATAATAATAATAAAAATAAAGATTCTCATTAGTTCCCCTTTCTCTATCCTTCTCTCTCTCCTCTTTCTAATATTCCCTCCAAAAAACAAGCACGTGATCACAATGCCTTCGTTCAATTATTACTATATTGTTATTCCCTTGAGTATAAATTTCCAAATTTAGATATTCAAATTACTTTCATACCCTTGCCCCTTCATCCTAATTTAGATATACAAAAGGGTATTAAAGTAAAACCCCAAGTCAAATTTCACCAACTTTGTTATTCATAATATTACCTAATAAATAAATAAACCAATTTATAACAACATGTATAACGACTAATACTATATAAACTATCCCGATGAATTAAATTTGGTTTAAAATCCCAAAAAAATGTTTGGTATAAATATCGTTAAAAAATCATAAATTTGCAATAAAAAGATGGAAAATAGACACATAGAGCATAGTATATAATATATATAATATATATAATGGGTTGCCATAAGTAATTTAATGGCTTAATTAAATATATGCTTAGGGTTAGGGCATTAAATTGGGGGACACTAACTCCCAACCCAACCACTATCAAATTATTAAAAACCTACCCTAAGTTATCGTTGAAGTTGCCTATTTCAAATTTATATTAAATTTAAAATTTATCAAAGATTTACTTAAAATACACCCTACATTTAATCTAAAAATAAGGATTATTTTCTTAACCAGTACCCATGTAGTGCCACGTAGGATCGACTACATAGTAGAGATGTTCACGGAGCAGAGTAAGAACAAGAAACCCTTCTCCATCCTTATATTCCTTTCGAATAAATTTTTAATAGTTAATTTTTATTAAAAATGGTAAAACATTTTTAACCTAGGGTAAATTTCCCATTAAATTATTAATTTATGTATTAACATTCTCTTACAAAAGGTTTAAACAAAATTTTAGCTGATAGACGTTATTGAGAATTTTAAAATACTAAGAAAGAAAGAAATAAATAAATAAATATAGTCATTTTAACAAAAAAAAAAAAAAGCTATTATTATTATTATTAATTTTTAATATAAGGACGTTTTATTAGGGTGCGTTACTTTATTTTATTTAAGAGAAAATAAAAAGGAAAAATAATTAAAAAAGTTCTATTGGTGGCCCAAAGATAAATAAATTTTATTTAATTTTGAACAGTTTCAATAATGAAATAATTATAATTACGATAATAACCCCAAAACAAACCCATAATAATTTTTCAACCACTCGTTAATAGCTCTATAAATCCTATGCTTTCTGTGCATTAATGTTTGATTGGTCCCACCCATTTTCATTATAATTTCTATTTAATCCCTAAACTTTTAAAAATTACACGTTATGAATTTTTAGATATATAATTTAATTAGTTCGTAGAGTTTGAAATTAGTTTCTCAATAATTCTCGAATAGAGTTTATATTAGTTGAAATTCACCTAACAAATTTTAATATATATTAATTTTTATTTAAAATTCAATTATAAATTAATTTCAAATTTTAAAACCCAAATAATTAAAATTTTATTTTTGAAACCTTATATATATATATATATATATTAGTTAAGATAAGTGATTGATTTTTAAAATATTTTAGATCAAGAAAATATTCAATATAGTTTCATATATTATATCTTTTAATGTTTGTACTATGAATGAGTTAATTACTAATAATAATTTTGAGCTATTTTAATATAAAGTTGTACCATATAATAATATAATTAAATGCGACATAACCTCTAAAGGGAAAAATAAAATAAAATAAGGTTGGGGACAAATTCTCTTCCATGTGTATATATATATTTAGATGGTATAAGCTTCTATTTTTTTAAAATTTATTATTTTTTCTTTTAGACGGATATATACCAATTTGAATATAGCTCACCTAAATATATTAATTTATTTAAAAGTAATTTTTATTATTCAAAAATATTCAATAATATATCGAATTTACGCCGTAGGGTAACTATGATTATACCAATACAAAGTTCAAAATTGAAGGTGTAATTATAGTTATTCCCGAAGTAAGCTAAGATGCTTAAATTGGTTTAATTAGTATCAAAACGAGCAACAAACGAGTAGAATCAAAAGTCGTATTAGATGCTTTATAGGAGACGAGTAGCCTTTAAACTTTTTTCTACGAGTCGGCAATGTGTCGACATCGTGGCATCAATCGGTATCAACAATTTTTATCAACAATTTTTATTTATTAATATTAATATTAATATTAATATTTCCACGTAGGTATTTTAAATGAAGCCAAATAAAGTAATTAAAGAGCTTTTATAATTTCCATTGATGCGCGTGGGTCCCACGCCCCCCTCGTTGTCCCCGGTTCCATGCTTAAATACCAGCCTCCCGTACGAGCTGAGAAGTTGACGCCCATTTTTGTAATTAATTTAAAATTTAAAAAATATTAATAAATTATTTTTTTATTTAATTTCTGGTTATCTTCCCTTCTATCATCTCTCTCGAACTGCATTTTGACGCGACATAGCTTTCTAAAAAACCTTTCAAAAAGTTCAGAAACTACGCGTCCTTTCCATTTCTCAACGTACCTTTCTCGCCATTTCCTTCTGTTCTGCAAACCCTAATTTCTTCCTCTTTCTCTCTCTCTCTCCTCCAATTTCACCTCCTTCCGCTTCGATTATGGACCGCGATCCTCCGCCGAACTTCTCCACCAACGATTCCTCCTCTAATTGGACCAGCTCTTCACTCGCCTCTGCCTCCGTCGACGCTGATTACCTTCTCTCCGGCGATAGAGAAACCTCTATCCTCACTGAATTCGGATGGAATTTCGACTCCGATGAAGTTCAGCCTTCCCGATTTCTCGACTCCGACCAGATCGCCACCGATGACAACGCCGATTTTGCCGGAACCTCCACCGGCAGTCTACAGAGCCCTGACGTTCCTGTTCCGCTTGCCTCCAATCCTTCATTGTCTTCGAGCTCGAGCGGAGAGCTGCCAGAGAAACAGCCTGAGATTCCGTGAGTTTCGTTCCGATCAATTAAACGATCTCTTCATGCTTCATTCTTCATACTTCATATTTCATCATCGTGTTCCGATTCTGCAACTTTAATGGCGATTAACTTCTGATTTTTCTCTCTTTTTAAAAACGAAAAATCGAAGGTTCGTTTCCGATTATTGGTAAAATTTTAAGAACCGTATTCGAATTCGTGAGGTTTTTCTAGTTCTTGCTTTGTTGTATTGTTAGGTTCCGATTGGAAAAGAGAACGCGAAAATTGGGGGAGATAGTGCAAGAACTCTGCGTTTGAATCCATTCTCCAACTTGGGGAGGTAGTTTCGTAAATTCGGTGAAAGCAGGGGCCAACAAGTATAAATGCATGAAAATATAGGGACCGTTTTGCAGTTTCTAGAAAAACTAGTCCTCCAACATCGCCGTTATTGCGGCGGGAATGCCATTTCCTTATCCCTATTTCTTTTTCTTCACTTCGTTAAATGAAAATCTCAAATAATTAATTCCGATTAAAATATTTAAAAAAAAAATAATCGGAGGAAAAATCAAATTTTAAAAGCATAAACCCCCAAGGGTTTTTTTTTTTTTTTTTTTTTTTTTTTTTTCTTTCTTTCTATATATTTATTCTGAATCAAATTAACGAAGAATAATTCTCCCGGATTGATTATTATTTATTAAAAATTTGGATGGTTGGCGTTATTTGTTCGATGTGCTTTTCATTCATGTAATATCGCATGTGTATATTTATTTATTTAATTTTAATGCATATACTTAAAATTTATGATGCTGAGAAAAAATGTATTGTTTTATTTATTTTTGTTTTAAATTTTCTGGTCCATAATGGGTCTGTCATTACCTAATTCTTTGATGTTCCTTTGAAATGATTGATCGTTTGCTCTTGTCTTATTACATCATAATCAATGAATTATGGTTTCTTGTGCTATTTTTTTCTGCTTAATGCAATGCACCTTGGCTTTCCTTTTCCAAAATTAAATTGATATTTAACTCGTTGCTTCCACGTGGAGGTGAGAGTTCGAATCTCTAGCCCGTCGAATTTATAATGTTTTAATGTTTATGAACTTGCTTAGATATAGTATGGTTCGATTTTTTTTTTGACGGTTTCGAAGCAATTGATCTGAGAAATTGAGAAATGTAAGATTGGTTTGATTTTCAAGATTTTGCTTTTACTTTATAAATTTGTAGGTGAAATATTTTGTAGGCGGAATAAGGTAAAAAAGAAGGGGCAAAAGCGAATCCGGCAGCCACGATTTGCATTCATGACCAAAAGCGAAGTGGATCATCTTGAAGATGGCTACCGTTGGAGGAAATATGGACAAAAGGCTGTCAAAAATAGTCCATTTCCCAGGTTTGTATCCATATATTACCCTATTTCTCAATAATTTTAGGTTTATTTCTCAATTTACATTCACTTTCTACCCATTTTCTCATATATAAATTATATATTCACACGATTAGGGTAACAACTTATCGATTGAAGGTTTGAATCTCCATCATTACCACTGTATATTGAAATATCGAAAAAGAAGGGTTTATACGTAGGGTTAGGTGCATAAAAAATGTACAATTCAATAATATCTATAATATTTGGTATTCGTTATTTATTCTATAAGAATTATGGAAGAATATCTCTGCATAGAAATATATATAAGCTATATTTTCATACTCGTTCATTATAGTCAGTATAAATTTTTTTACAAAAAAGACTATAAAAAGTATATTATAATATTTTTCGTTAGCATGATGATATTGACAAAAGTACAAACATAATACAATCCCAATGAAACCCTAAGATACTATTTTAGAGGCTCTCCAATCATGTTTTAAGAATCAAACACTAATATGAAACCTATTAACTCGGGTTAGAGTGTAAGCGAGTGATGCTTTCGACTATTGGAGTGGCATCACTCCACCGCTTTACCTAGCAGCACGACACGACACGACACTTATATTGATATAATACATTCAAACCCAGATTTCTTTCTTTTTTTGCTCTCCTCATAATCATTGAGAGAAGGTGAGACAAAAGTTAAAAAGCTTGATTTTATGTGTTCGCTTCCACATCTCTGTTTCAAAACAACAAAAGCAAAAAGAAACGATAATATATGGAAAGACAGATGTCTTTTCTTTGTGTTGTCGCATAATTAGCTCTTAATTTATTCCCAGGAGTTATTATAGGTGCACCAACAGCAAATGCACCGTGAAGAAAAGGGTAGAACGCTCGTCTGAAGATCCAACGGTTGTGATTACAACTTACGAAGGCCAACACTGTCATCACACCGTTGGATTCCCTCGTGGAGGAGGACTCAACTTGGGTCATGAAGCTGCTTTTGGGACTCAATTTTCCCCTCATATGGCTCAGGCTCAGTTCTTTTACCCTGATCCTCACCCACCGCCCACAATTAGCCCTCCAAATGCTCCTCCCAACTTGCCATCAGTGGCACCGTCCCAAGAAGAGCCTACAAATTCTTCACCCCAAGTGGCTTCGGATGAGGGCTTACTAGGCGATGTTGTGGCGCCAGGCATGCGTAGAAGATGACCCACTAGCAGCCCAATTTGTGGTATGAAGTCCCTGCACTAACCTCATCTCTAAATACTATTTAACTTATTTTTTTGATTGAAATTATTGAGATGCTGCTTTTGGAGGAGAGTGTATGTTTTGAAATTATTGATAAGCTCATTTTGCTTGAACTTGTACAAATCAGAAAGGTTGTTGCTTGTTGTCGCCTATTTTTCTTTTGTCTTGTTTTAGATTTAACTCATTGGGTTCCTCTACCATGTATGGATGCATTGAAAATTGAATCAAATGTTGTTTAAGGATCAAATTTTGTTTCATTTCTTTTCTCGAGTCTATTAGACCACCTTGCAACCATTCCAGTTGGTCGATGACGATCCTCTATGGATGCAGGATCAGGGTTTGTTTGGTCGTTAATCACACCCTAGCCCAAGGCAGAGGTTCATCCACTAAACTCTAAATGTTGAATGGCTCTGTGACCTCTCTGGGTCACAATTGGAGGATTCTCTTATTATGTATAGATATAGATATAACCGATAGTAATGAATATATTGTGTGGTGAAGGTAAACTAAATAAGTAAGCATAATGTGTGGCAGTCGAACAAATAATTTAGGAATTTTATTTTTAAGATTCTAAATATGTTACCGAACACATTAAAAATCGGTGTAAAAACATGGAATACAACTCGGTTATGTATTATATTCCATGTTTTGAGATCACCCACTACCCTAAATCTTCCTGTAAGGTTAAAATTTCCATGAAGTTACCTTGGGAGTAAATCTTGATCATGAAAAACAGCGACTTATGGTGTTATAAACAGTGAATAAATTTTACTGTGCTTCCAAGTGCCGTAAAAAACAGAAAGACAAAGTCAGTAGAACTCAGTTTCCTTTAAGAAAAAGCTTCATTAAAAGAACAAAACAAAGCCAAATCTTACAGCCTTATGCTTTGTTAACTGAAAGGAACAGAAACCCTTAGGGTTAGCTGTTGCATGAAACCCTTTTTTTCCCCTTAAAAAAAAAAAAGTAATTATTTTCATTATTAAATTAATGTTTCTTCATTCCTAAGTTACTTTCACTGTTCCATTCCTAAGTTACTCCCTTTTTTTCCTCTTTTTTTTGTTTTGTTTTACTTTATAATTTATGTTTTTGTTTTTCGGGTTACTGAGATCATGTTACTTATTGTGAGTTAAGCTCGGCTTTGACGTCCGTTATGACTTATTTCTTATTCTTTGAGTATGTCGGGGGGGGGGGGGGG